TTTAAATTGCGTTGATAAAGACTTGATTTTATTGTGTGCTCAATTTTGTGGCCTATATTGTGATTAGTGATTTGCATATAACTAGGTAACTGTATTAAGATAAAAAACGAGTCTCTTGTTAAATAACACCAAGCTAATTTTGGACTCTACTGCGTTACATTCAGAATTAGTTACGCTATCGAAATCCAATAACAGGGTCCAAAAGTAAAATATGAGGTTTCCCAGTAATATGAGTGAGTCGAGTGATTTCTTCATTGAAAGTTGGAACTGTTCTACTAACCGATACAAAAAAAAAAACAAATAATTAAGAACTGCAATTAATAATAATAATAATTCTTTATTTGCTCAATGTGGTACATGATATACTTAGATCACCACATTTACCATTATTGGCATGCAAATTGGTTACATGTTAGTTCATGTTACATTTAATCTTTACTTTAGATTAAAATAAAATATATGAAAGCTACAATTTTGGTACATAAACTATACTTACTGCTCTTATTTATTTCTTTCTTTAAAACTAAAAGATTTACATTTGTTTTTTTCTAGAAATTCGTGTATTGAGTAGTAATTTTCTTTAATTAGCCATTGCTTTAATACGTTACAAAATTTCTTATTTCAGTTATAGATTAGATATTAGATACTTGTCAAATTCAATACTTTTTTTCGAGCTGTCAAAAACGACCAGTTTTCTATGAATTTTGTACGAGATTATGAACAGCATACTTATTTCTTAAAAAAATGCTGGAAGAATACTAAAATTAAATTGGTCATAAAATTAATTAATGAGAATGTGATTGTATATTTTTAAATTTTATTGTATTGAACAGTCGAAATGATTTATTTTTGATAAGGGAAAGTAAGTACCCAATTCCAAATTCAAAACGCTGACGAAATCATAAACACCCACTTTGCAACCAGTATTTATCTTAACAAGTAGGCGCGAAATAAAAAGTTCTTAATAAGCCAAGCAGACATAGTATCAAATAATTCGCTTCACAAATACTAACTAGTTATGTTAGCGATTACTTAATAAACTATGCAGTTATATCAGGAAGCTAGTTTGAGACCCTGACACGAATACTTTCGACCAATCAACTTATTCTTTTTAATATTAATCTTAAGCGGCATTTTGGCGCCATTTTTTTACTTAAAATGACGTCACGTCTGTTGTGGTCAACACAACAATTTTCTCCAGTTAATGCTGTGTCTCTTGCCTTAGAACAGGGCCTTTTGCCATAAAACTATCAGTTTGTGTAAAACTCCTTCGGTACCAAGATTTTGGAAAGTAATAACCGACAGAAGATCAGCCTACTAAACAGAACTACAGGTTTTAAAAATCTTGGGATTGCCTCTCCTCGAAGCAGAACTAGGAATAGGGTGATTTTTTGTCAGTAAAGTGTCTGATATTCCCTCTCGCCTCTCTTAAGATGGGAAGTCATTGGATGATTTTCTCATTTCAAAAATACCTTAGGAGCTGAAGTTTGACATTTAAATTCTTTAAAAGCATAATAACAACTAAGAGACGCTGTCTTAAAATGTATACAAGGAAACATCTGACATTTTTGCGCATAAAAATCTAGATCCAAACCATATGTGTTCTAGAATCCAGTTACTATTAAAAAAATACTTACAATTTTGTTTTGGTGACGCAACTATGCTAATCTGAATGAATTAGTTCTCCATATTTGGTCTGGTTAGGTATTATTTTATGGAACTCGTTTCTAAAACGAGATATAACTAGAATTTTATTCAGAATGTAGCGGAAGTTTTGTTTTGGTGTTTGACGCCAAGGACACGAGGGGACAAAATGTGCTGCGACAAGAGTCGCCAGCGACGTTGGGTGAGGAAGCGCGATGTTGCCGGACTTCGCCCCACTCTAGGCTTGTCTCCTGTCTCGTGGCGTTTACTAACATAAAAATTCACATACACATGACACCCAGACCCGGAACAACAATCTGTGGATCACACAAAGGGTTGTTCCGTGAACCCGCGACACGTTGCGCGGCAGCCAATTGCCCACCAGCGCGCCAACCGTGCAGTCTAACTTTGGTCGACATGTCTGGCAGCATCAACGTCACTGTGAACATGAGTTGCGCGTTGTCACCGTATATGTCAGGCGACATCGAGCGGCTTCGCTCAACATGTCGCCGATACATGTCTTGTCTTGGTACACTTGTCCCCCAGTGTATCCTAAGCTTCAATCTACGTGGGTTATAAGCGTGAGTGACCAACACGTTTTGGAACAAAATACCTGGTCAAAGTTATTAATTGTTTTACTTTTCTCTTTGGAACTATTCAGTCAGGGCTCTATCTACGTAAGGAAACATTTTCTTTGATACTTACCTATGTATTACAGTGGGGCTACTGTATTTTTGTTCACTAAATGGCGGTAGTCTGGTACTCTCGTTATTCGACCAATACGGAATAAGCTAGTGTTACACCATTGGACATTCTTTTTGACAGCTACTGTAATAGGTCAAAGACTTCTTGCTAGATAAGCGTCATCGGATGATGGTGAGCCAAAAAATGGTAGCTTTCGTTTCGTTATCGTCCGTTTTGTTGCCTAGGTTTGGCAACTAAAGTATCTAACTTGATTTTAATTCTTAACACACTTCTCAATCTGTTTCCTTACTAATTCTTTATTACATAGAGGCCTTCAAATAAATATTACTGCTATTCAATTACCACCTATATCTAGTCGACCATTATCCCCAGGTGTGGCAGATATACGTGAAACTTAATGTATTTTTTATTGTGTCTCAATAATTATCGAATAGCTTATCCCATAAAAATACTAGCCTATCACTATTAAATATTCATAGTTTGAATATAATCACTAGGTATAAATCATCATTATCTTGTTTATTATGCGGAAACATTAATTGACACAGTTACATTTTTTCCTTAAGATTTTCCCTTAAGAAAGACGACACGACGATACTACGTTATTCACGACTTTCTATAGTACTTAATCAAGGTTATAGGTACAGGAAAAGAAGAATTATTGCTCACAATGATTACTCCCGAGTAGATTTAGGTAGAAATCTACGTTTTCTCACTGTTTTAATTTTTTTTATAGCCTTTCTAACTCGGTAAACGTGCAGACGGATCACCTAATGGTAAGCAATCGCCGTCGCATATGTCCACCTGGAATACCAAGGCGTTACTAGTGCGTTACCGGCCTTTTGGGAATTTGAGGATTCGTGTGTGGGGGTAATTGGGCCTCCGGTTATCTCACTCACACGACGAAACACAACACAAGCATTGTGTCACGTCGGTTTTCTGTGAGGCCGTGGTGTCACTCCGGTCGAGCCGTCCCATTCGTGCCGAAGCATGGCTCTCCCACACTTAGAACTTTAATAAAGTTTATTACTCTACTTTCTAAGTAGAAAGCCTATCTATATCTATACATAAAAAAGAACTAATTTGTAGGTAAGGTTTCGAACCCCTAACCAGAAATTTGGACCAATAGTACCTACATCTATTTGGTCATGTAAAACAATGTAAAACCACCCCATTGATGCTTTTCAATATGTGACACACACACCTACATACACTGAATTAATATTTTTATTAAATAGATTTTCTAAGACCTTCAAACTGACTAGTCAATAATTATGATTATAATAACGTGTAAGAAAGAAATAAATAATCTCAGGGTCAAGACTTTATTCGCCTTGAATTGAGCGTAACAATGAGAACTGTAGAGGTACTAGAAATAAAAGTATTTTATTTTAATTTGAATGTAGATTTAGGCCAACGTGCTCATTAACTCGTCGAGTACCGGTTTTGTAGACACAATTATAGAACAATAGGTTGCGGTCACCGGTGACCGCTTGGTGTTTGACAGTTTAAAACATGTTTTAAAATTGGTCACATAATACCAACATTGGTTTCTAGGCCTTTTTTTTGTTGACGGGGTGAAACCTTCCCAAGGCGCCTAGGTTTTTGGGGAAAAAGACTAGGGAGTGTGGAATTTTTATCTCACTAAAACCTCCCTGGTGGCCACCAAGGAGGCACCGGGTCCTCTTAGTAGACCAACCCCGGAGCCCCCACAGTGCAACGCCTGTTACGGCACCTCCCTATAGAGACATATGTGTCTCTCCTATCAGTTCCTACGCCTGCAAAGTTTTGGTACATAACTAGTTTTTGATTGCGTTATACACCTATCGAAACGAGACCGCGTTCAGTGCTCTTGGTTGGTTCTCATTTGTCACGGTCTCATTTCAATTACTTTTTACGTAAAACAAACTCATTTTTTTTTATCTATACTTCTATACTAATATTATAAGCTTTTGTATTTTTGTATGTTTGTAATGAATAAACTCAAAAACTACTGGACCGATTGCAATAATTTTTTCACCATTAGAAAGCTGCATTATTCAGAAGTAACATAGGCTATATAATATCACGCTAGGTCCTATAGTTGTGGAGCAGTAACCAAAAATGTTTTAAAAACGGGGGAAAAGTATCGTTTCTGAGGCCTTCCGTGGCGTGCGCTGAGCATATAGTTAAAGTTATACAAAAAAATGCTCTATAGATGAATTGTTCATCTTAACATTATTTTTAAAAAAGTCCGCGAGAGCATATGTCTACCTTTTATAGTTTATCCATAACAATCGTTTTAATGAATGGTTCAATCCTTATAAAAGTTTGCTCTAGATAACTTTTGAATTGTTCAATAAATGAAGTCCGGAAAAATATTTTCAAAAGGTAAATACTTCCTAAATAAAAAAAAACTGAGAATAAATATAAATAAAACGTAAAACTATGTAAAAAATCTTAAGTCCCCCCGTGCGAAGCCGGGACGGGCCGCTAGTATCGAATAAAACGAGTAAACTGTTCAGGACACGCTCGATTTGTTTCGACTACTTAGATTATGGGTCCCAGACTCCCGGTGTGACTGGAAACTAGTCAAGCTTTTGCAAATAAGTTGTATATTTTAATATCAATGTGTGGTGTGTCACGATAATAATTATTATACGATTTAGATTTTTCTTTTTCATAAAATCCATAATTTTCAATGAACAAGGAAGTAGGATATTATTATTAATGTTTTCATAAATCATTCCGACTATCATTTAGCAGAGTTCCGCCTATATGCGTCCAACACCTAACATAATATAATTTGCGGAGGCAGTAATGCTACTCATACGGTATACTTAAATATTATGCTATTAAAATGACATTTATTTAACACCTACTTTCCTCCTACGCTTGAGGAAGATACGATGAAGATTAACCATACCTAATATCAGTATTGTTCTAAGCAATAATAAACTTTATCTTGCATTAGTTTGAGATCGTATTTCTTTGACCTGCGTTATTCTTTTTTTGCTTTTAAGGTGAAGACATTCCTAGTTTGACGATCGTTGGTTTTTAAACGGCTTTTTAATATCACGAGATCCATTAAAAAAATAAAGGCAATTGAAAGGTTAATTTCATTCATCCTTATCCTTATCCTTACTTATATTATAAATCGGAAAGTGAGTTTGTTTGTTTGTTCCGATTTCACGCCGTAACTACTAAACCGATTGCTTTGAATTTTTGCAGACGTAAAGTTACAAGTCAGGATTAAATAATAGGGTACTTTTTATCCCGGAAAAATTTGATATTCCCGAGGGAAAACAAAAGTATTGGTATAGATGGCGCTGTATGTAATGGTATATGTCACATAGGCTACTTTTTATCCTTTTGTGACGCGAGCGAAGCCCCGAGTAAAAGCTAGTATTTTATAATAGTGAGAGTTGGAGAATATAAGGATAAGGACCCTAGCTTCTGCCAGCGACAGCGGTATCACCTGCGTCCTTAAGGGTCAAAAAGTAGCGTATGTATTATTCGAAACCATAATCCATTATGTTCCATCCTTTATGTTTTTTGGATTTTTTTTTTGATCCCAAGGTGGGAAATCCTCATAGAGCCCCCTCGCCTAGAGGGGACGAAAGGGACTGTCAAACTCTTACGGACTAAAACCCACCGCGGTGTCCCGTCTCACACGTGGGTACGAGAGTGTGGGAGTCACATTCTTCCGCAGCCCCCGAACATGTAGCGGCCTGCCTTGCCAGGCCCCACCTCAAGTTGCACAGAGGAGTGACGTCAGTGACGTGTTGGTCTTGAGGCGCGCGTGGACACTACGCGCGCCGCCATCTCGGGTCCACGTCTATTCCAAATTTCATTGCGATTACTTCATCCGTTTTGGGGGACTGAGTAACAATCATACACACAAATGCTCAAACTTTCTCATTCATAATACTAGCTTCTTCGAGGGGCTTCACTCCTTGAGAGAGATGTTGTCCTGAGATAAAAAGTAGCCGTGTGTTATTCCAGATCATATTTATTTATTAACTCTTTATGGCATTTTCTCCCAGTCAACCTTCGGGTTAAATATAGAATCAGCGAAAATAGGCTTGAGTAATATGCAAAAACACAAAATAAATAACTTATAGTAATTGGGATGATGACAGAGTATGAAAATTGAAAATCTAATTAGTCCGTAAGTTAGGTAATGAAAAAATATTAGACACGATTTGTTTATTTTGTCGTATAATAAAATAATACTTAAATAAAACGAATCAAAGTTTAGGATTGGGGGTTAAAACATCATTTCTACGGATAAAATGTACATAGAAGTGACGTCACTCGACATTTCAAATCAATATAATTATCGTCGAAAGTATTCATTTCTGTAAGAAAATAAAAAATACGTGTCTAATGATTTAAAGTAATCTACCAGACGGACATTAAAATAAAAATGAAGCATCTACCCTATTATAAATACTATATAACATACTGTATAATTTATTTTCTTTCACAAGCTTATCTTTTATAATAGTAGTAGGATTAGTAACATGATAGATATGGTCGCATAACTCCGATACAGCCTAAAATATGCCCTGTCAACTGACCGTCTTTGATGTTTTCTTCTCCGTCGATGACAGGCCTCCAACATGTTATGATTATCAGAAGTAGGTCGTTATAAAATAGGACGACAGCGAGGCTGGTAGATAACCTTTGACCTTGGTTACATCGTGTCAACAATACTGATTGTGGAAAGAGAAGTGTCCTCTTAAGAATTTCTGTAGACTGTAATCTAGTTCTTATACGGAAAAAATTGTTAGCAATTATTTATGGTTTTGCAACGTGCGTATTACATACGATTGTCGATTTTAACCTAATTCTCAGTATTAGTACATTGTTGTAATGTGTGTCCTATTAAGTCTATAAGAGAAGAAATTAACTAAATTTGCTACGTCACAAATCACTGTCACGTTGAAGTAACACAAAAACTGTACACCTTTGTGTACATCTGCCTATCCTTCTCGGTATAAAATGACATGACGTTGAACATTTCGTACGTACATACATATTATTTGATTACGCATAAACGTAATTGTGTTATTTTTTATGGGATGAGCTAGTTAGTAAACGAGCAGTTGAATCACCTGATGGTAAGCAATCGCCGCCGCCTATGGACACCTGAAACACCAAAGGTGTTATAAGAGCGTTACCGGCCTTTTGGGAATTGGGAATTTGAGGATTGTGGGGGATACTGGGTAATTGGGCCTCCGGTAACCTCACTCGCACGACGAAACACAACGCAAGCGTTATTTCAACTCGGGTTTCTGTGAGGCCGTGGTATCGCTCCGATCCAGCCGGCCTGTTCGTGCCAAAGCATGGTTCTCCCACACTTGGTATTATGGGATATAGATAACAAAAGTTTACTGTCATGACATTAGTTTCCATAGAGTTCAACGTACCTACTGCACAAAAGATCTACGCTGTTACACTATGTAAATGCAATGTACTAAATTTAGTAAACATACGGTATTTAGTTTAAAAATATAAAGTCAAGAGCTAATACAGGATGCTTAATATTAAACATTGTAACTGATAGCGTTTCATAATTATATTTACTAACGCCACACAAACGAGTGTTATTGTTAAACTCGTCATAGATAAACTTGACACATGGACTAAACGATATATTGTAAAATAATACATATATTAAATAACATACCTACCACTAAATATAAATCATTGCGCGCAATTCAAGACTCAGGTTTATGATTCAGTAGTATAACTCCTGTGATGTTACTGATAACCATGTGTAGCGTTAATTACTTACGTACCATTAGATGGACCCCAGCCGTCGCTTGGGACACTCGGGGCATCGGAGATCGCGTGATCTCCGGCCATCGAAAGTTCGGGTCTACTGGCGGCAAGCAAGGGTATCTTTCCGCCCGATCAGAACCAGACCCGTGCGTACGACGCGTCGCGTTCCGCGCACTCATCAAAGATCCATCAGAACACCACAGATGTGACCCAGTAGGGCTGATACCGATACGAAACCGCAGAAGACTTAACGGGTTACTGGGGCTCCGGCTCGAAGGAGTTGGTCTGGCGAGGTATTTTAGTCAGTCTGACGCACTTTCGCCTCAGGCAGGTCCCGCAAATTTATTAAATGATTTTGCCCTCTTAAAAGAATGAGTGGTTTATCCGTTGCCATTGTTCTCGTGTTACCTTTTAAGTGCATTCTCAAACTATAATGCTCTTCTTCATTTCAGGTACTGGGTCCAACGCTCTTCTGAGGACCTGTGGTGGTGAACAAATTGGATGTGGCGGTTGGGGATACCTTCTAGGAGACGAAGGCGGCGGTATGTCCTTACTTTTACAGTTTTTTGTTATCAACCTTATGAGCCCGTGTTCATCCGCTCCTGGACATAGGCCTCGCCTAATAATTTTTGTGTTATAAATAATCTTTTATATTAAATTAACACGTTAAACGCCATGGCAGTCACCGGTGACCGACATTAGCGGAGGATTTGCCTTCAACAGTTTTTTATTGGCAGCCAATGCCTTAATCACTTGATCTACAAAATTTGTTCATACAAAACCGTCTCTAAACATGTGAAATAAGGTCTGTAATGGAGTGAGCGGAGAGGGATTAACCAGTAAGATGTTTTACGGCTTAATCACTCAAATGTTTAACAAAATATGAACAAGAAATTACTTATACTTGTACTGCTGTGCTAATATGACTAACAGAATTAATTCGCCAAACAGTTATGCTGTTAATTTATTTGTATTGCTTTTTTTATTTACTTTCGATACACCAAATGTAACAATATAATAATTGTATTCTTGGTCTAAAACCTACAATTCTATTTACAGCATACTGGATAGCCTACAAAGCGGTGAAGGCGATCTTTGACCATATAGACGGCTTGAATCCTACGCCGCTCCCAATTGACAGGGTCTGGGAGGCTATTAGGGAACATTTTGGCGCTGACACCAGAGCTGATCTACTACCACATGTTTATAAAGACTTCGACAAGTCTAAGTTTGCTGGTAAGTTAGATTTTTTTTCAAGATTTACTTGTACAGCAAGTTTAGTATTAATACAGTTGAATGTCACTTCTCATACATCAGAGAGGAGACTGGAAACTGACCAAAGACAAGTGACTTTTCCGAGTTATAATCTTTATATATATAATTCTTCTGTGAGTGTGTATGTCACTGAACTTCTCTCAAACGACTGGACCGATTTTGATGAAATTTTTTGTGTGTGTTCAAGGGGATCTGGGAATGGTTTAAATTCACAAATCAGCCCGGCAGATGGCGCTGCAGTCGATGTTTAGGTTATTTATCCTAAACAGCTGAACTAATTTGAATGAATTTTTGTTTATGTGTACATTCAAGTGGATATGCAGGACAACGTCTGTTGGGTCCGCTAGTATACTTTGTAAGATTATTTAGACGCCACTGACAAACGATGAAGGAAAACAATGAGAAGAAACTTGGGCGTATAGTCTATACTATATCTTATACTATTATATAAAGCGGAAGAGTTTGTTTGTTTGAACGCGCTAATCTCCGTATTCCCTAGACTACTGAGTACATGCACTTGCAACTTGGGTTCAATTCTCTGGTTTTATTCTTTTCTGTTTTAGATATTTTTATTAGATAGTTATCCTCAGTGTCAGACTCCCTCTACTTACCATGGTATTCAACATAACAACATTAGTATTGCAATTCGTTTAATTCAGGGCCAAAGCGATATAAAAAAAAACAAATTCTGTAATTGGGTTTTTCTAACTTTCCTTTTCTTTTTTAGCTTTCCTTGGGCAAAAATAAATTATTTCGACTGTTCAATACTATAAAATATTAAAAAATAATCACACACTCATTAATTGATATTATGACTAACTTAATTTTAGTATTTGTCCAGCACATTTTTAAGAAATATGTATGCTATTTGACGCTAGAAAACGTGACGTCACAATAGACAATCTCGTACAAAATTCATATAAAACTGTCGTCTTTGACAGTTCGAAGAAAGTATTGAATTTGACTAGTTGGCAAGCATCCAATACGGTAGTTGATACTTGACAGTCAAATTCAATACTTTTATTGAAATGTCAGAAACGATACTTTTCTATGAATTTTGTATTGGATCGCAACCTGTGACGTCATCATATTTCCGCGTCAAATAGCATAGTTAATTCCATAAAATAAGCGAGAATAAATCCAAAAGTAGGTAAATTGTCAAATCAATGGATGAGAGTATGATTATTTTTTAATTATTTATTGCATTGAAAAGTTCAAGTATTACGTAAGCACCATGGGGGTGGGGGGTCTTTGTTTTGCTTATTTTGGATGATATGGGGTGTAGGGGAGTCTAGATGATGATTACGTCATCGATAGTTATTTACTTTTTTACACAAATGGCAACCCTCATATTGAAGCTATAAATTACAAGCAAAAACCGACAAAGAGCTAGACATTATAGTATCTAAGAGAATATTAAAATTACAATATAAAAAAGATATAATTTACGTAAGCAAAGGGGAGGGGGTACGATCTTTGCTTACTTTTGCTGAAAAGGGGGATGGGGGAGTAAATAATTGTAAAAAATCGGCTTACGTAATATTTGAACGGCCCCTTATAAGAATATAAATTAAAAACCATAATTATAAAATCCCTTTCTATGTACAGGTCTAACATTAAAACTAGCAGAACTAGCTAAACAAGAGGACAGCCTCGCCTGTCACCTTTTCGACTGCGCCGGCGAAGCACTAGCTTGTCACGTGCGCTCGCTCGCATCAAAAGCAAGAACAAGGAAACTACGCGTCGTATGCGTTGGCTCTGTATGGAAAAGCTGGGATTTACTCAAGACAAGTTTTTTGAAAAAGCTGAGGGATAGCGATGTAAGTGTAAATATTACTAAATTAGTTTTATTTCATTATTAGCCTCAGCCTGCGTAACACTATGTTAAATAATTTAATTGTTTCGTCAGGTGTAGTTTATTATACGGACCTTGTGGAATCTAGAACGAATTTCCGTGCGTTTTTGCTATACCTATTATTGGAAGCAAGTATAACAGCTCACACATAGGACCCACTTAGTTTTTAGTCAAATTTCCGTGGTGCTTGGCGACTGGGCTTCACCCAGTTGTACAGTCTCTTCTTTGTGTCTTTAGGCTTAATTCATTCTGTCTCCTGCAGTAATTCACCGAGGGAAGTGAAAACCATAGTTTTTTCTTCTTCTCTTATAATATCTTCTGATTCACTTCGTTGCGGGAACCAAGACAGTTACTCATGTCCCTGGGACGCGCCGGACTTCAGTGTTCCGGTGTTTTCATGGTTGTATCTACTGTAGATCCTGGCTTACAGGAGTTGCTTGTCCCATAAAAAAAAAGCCTCAGCCTGCGATTTCGTACTCGCAATCCCGTTTTGGACTTTTTCTGTTTTAAGAACCTTCTCCTAATAATAACAAATACAACAAAAAAAGAATTAGTGAAATCGATCCAGCCAATCACGCGTGATGCCGTGACCAAGGAAAAAAGAGATTCATTTTTATATATCTAAGATTAAAAATTAGTCAGTCAGCCAAAGTAAAGATGGATTCAGTACAGACAATAGCTACTAGCCGCACATTCAAATCTCGGGTTCGATCTCCAAGTCAGGCTCAGTTAATACTCATATTACTACCTATTCGGGATTTTTCGAATATTCATAACTTTACTCCTTTTATCCCCGAAGGGGTAGGCAGAGGTGCACATTACGGCATTTAATGCTACTATACAATGTAACACCCACTTTTCACTATTTAACATAACTTAAATGTCCCATGTAATAGGCGGTGAGCCTATTACCGTATACCAACATTACTATTGAGAATGTATTTAAATAACTCAGTAGTATTTTACCTAACCCGGGAATCGAACCCGAGACCCCTTATTCGCCAGTCGCACTTGCGACCACTCGGCCAACGAGGCAGTTGTCGAATATTATCATTATAAATTATTATTTTAATTTAACATTAGGTAAATTTAAAGCTAAAATCAATACAGACACAACATTACCATGCATTATCCAAATACTAGCGACCCGCCCGGGCTTCGCACGCTTATTTATTACTATATATATTATTTCTACAATATTATGTATGGTATTACATATATAAATCTTCTTCTTATATAGAATAGAATAAAATGATTTATTTACATTGAATGAAGGTCCATAATATAAGGTCTTACAAAGGTATAATGTTCCTGATACATTTTACTATATGGCATGCAATTTTTTTTTAATCTTAAAGGCTATGAACATAATGGACTATAATACTTTGTAAGTTATCTATAAGACTATTATAATTTATTATTAATGGATAACATAATCCTAATAATATTTAAAAAATTATATCACAAAATATAGCTTAAACGATTTACAGCAAATCAGTTTATATGTTATTGAAAAAAAAATCACTCTATCTATAAAAAATACCTAATCAAAATCCGTAGCTGTGTTTTAAAGATCTAAGCAAATATAGGGACATATTTTTAAAACTACCTGTTAGCTTCCACCAGCAGATTCGCTCGCGTTCCCGTGGTATAATAAGTGGCCTTTGTGTTGTTCCAGACCAAAATTTCTGTCCTAAATTTCATCTCAATCCCTTCAGACGCTTTGACGTCACTGAATAATAAATACAGACTTGAATATAATATTTCATAAACAAGTCCCAAGTGAACAGGTTGCTCATAGGTAGGTAGGTGTGCTCCATCTTCGGCCACATCGTCGGTTACCACCAGGCGAGATGGAGGACAAACGTCGACATATCAACTATAAAAAAAAAACTCAATCATATTTAATTTAAATCGTTGTTAAACAAAATCCTTCTCTTTACAGGTTGCAACAACATTAGAATTTGTGAGACTTCGGGTTTCAAGCGCTATGGGAGCAGCATGGTTGGCAGCCAAACACGTAAACTACGAACTACCTAGAGACGACGAAGCTTTCTGCTCAGTCTTCTACACTTACTACCGTGATAGAAATCGTAACGAATTCGAGGATGAAGTAAGAGGTTATAATGAAAATCGGAATATAGACGAACCTTCTAATGAAGGTTTTACAGACTATGATCTTCTAAACGATTTTATAGAAGGTAAAGATAAAAACATTGAGCTTGTAGACGGTGTTCTTGTACGCCGTGATGTTGTAAACGGTCAGGGTGTAAACGGTCATGCTGCAAACGGTCAGGGTGTAAACGGTCATGCTGCAAACGGTCATGCTGTAAACGGTCAGGGTGTAAACGGTCATGCTGTAAATGGTCAGGGTGTAAACGGTCATGCTGTAAATGGGTCATCGACCTTCAATGAATTGAGAGATTTTTCATTAATGAATATAAACTGAATTTTCCGTATTAATGAGAATTAGAGCTAATGGTTATTATATTTGTTTTTTAAATAGCTTGGTAATGATTGATCCTAGATTTTTTCCTCTAAGTAAATAGACTATTTATGGTTAATTATTTGTGAACGTTACCATTTAGTAGGTTTAGACTTATTTCAAATTCCCTAGAGTCGTTCTTCGAAATTCCCAATAATCAGTGTTCCATTAGTCATTTTCTGCTTATTAAAGGCATAACATACATTTATGTTTCTTAACATAATTGAATTCTATGCGAAACAAAAATTATTGTGAGTCAGTAGACCAAAGAGAATTTTGACATTTGATTATAAACTCAATTACATCACAAGTTTAAAGTTCAAAAGAGTTCAAGTATAGACATTTTAAAATGTAGATAATTTATATTCCTGCGATTTTGACTTCTACAACCTTCAGAGTAATGTTCATTATTGATTTTACGGTGCATTTTTACCAAGCTGTTATTTTAAGTCGCACGCAATTTTCACAAAAGTTATGTTGTAGGTAGTGCCAAATTGGAAAGAACAATTTAGAAAGATTGACATGTCAACGATTGACATTTTTGTGAATATTGCGCCGTTTACTGTATAATTTTAAATTAAGTAACAATGAATTTAATTATACCAAATGGATCGTTTGCAAAAGATGGTAAATGTGTGGTACAGTTTTGTATAGTAAAATTGCTTGTGTTACTGTAAAGTTCGTTATTGATAATACTTTGGTCTTACCTGTTGGTAAGTAGACGGCCTTACTAAATGCATTAAGGACTACTGCTTATCAATTCGTATTCGTATGGTAGTAGAAACTAAGGGCTCAGATTCAGGCTTCCTAAGATTTTTTACGTTTAAAGTAGTCCGAACATGACGGCAGAATGTTCTTATTGGCAGGCTCTCATGAATCAACCCATCAGACTACCGAACGCGGTATGATTTTTGATTACTTTACACGTAAAACAACTTAGACTTCTGAGGTCCAGATGTCCAATAGAGAAATTAGCTAATGTCAAATCATTGGACATTAAATTTCTGACAGCTATGGCGATTGGACAAACAGACTTCAAGCTACATACCACCATCTGTTGTTCACTTTTTATTACAAACTTTAAAATGTACAGTATTTCACATCGAACTTTACAGTAACACGTAGAAGTAATAGTAAAAGTGTTAAGCTTTAAGATACGTAAGATCACAAATGCATGTCGCTGTAAAAATAACGATTATAATAAGAATAATGACTATTAGTAGATCAATTTGTTTATTGTACCTATGCCAATTGGCCCTATTCAAGAGTAAAATATACAAAGAATTATTTAGTACAGTATTTTAACAATGAGAAATAATTTCACGTTAGTTTAGTTCAATAGTCACGCTAGTTTCGAAAATATAAATGACACGAGAGATATACGATCTCAAGAACTTGCGTTACAGCGTCTGTAGTGGCTTAAAACCTCTTATTAGCAATTCAATTAAAATTAGGTTCAAAATTTTAATTATATTACGACTTTTGTCGCTGGCTGTACACATAAAATACTTCGTAAACCGCCTATTCTCATAATTTATATCTGTCGAAAAGAGATGAAGTCAATCGTCTAAGTTATAGACTTAAACACTATGTATAAAGAAATCTTAGGTATAAAATTTCTTTGCGTTGACGAAATTATTATGATGAAACTTTAAATAATTTATATAACCTAGAAATAAACAGAGATTGCAGAACGATCTGACAGTTGCCACAGAGTATATTGATCTGATTGACTTTTAAAATGGCGGGAAATATTGTTTATGGCTCTGATGCATAATTATCTCGTGTATTTTAGATTAAAAAGCTGTATTTATGATTTCACACGCTTTAATCTAGATGAGCGAAGCCACAGAACGAAGACTAGCAGTTGTTTAAAAAAGTCGAGCCGAAAGCTTAGCTCATACACGAATAATTTTGTATTAGACGCCATTCATCATAATATTAAATTTTAGATTTTAATTTTATGTAAATAGTTATAGTTCCTATTTTTACGTAGACGTAAATATTTTTGTTAAACGTAAAAGTAATTGATAAGTTATTGTAATATAAATAATGTAATATTAAATGTATGATGTGAATATATATTTCATTTTTTATTTATTTTTGCCTTTTTCATTTAGCTGCCTATCGTTAAGTTTGATCCCTTAAAAGAAAGGTGATCTAAACGAACAAATAGTAAATAAAAGAGAACACTAAATTAGAGATTGATGTAAGTAGATTTGAAAAAATCAAACATGGAGCTTCATACTTTATTAGATAATTTTTCGATACTATCGACAGCTAAAAACTATTACAAGAGTCAGTGAATTTTACACTATTACCTTTACATTCATTCTTTGAATAATTATATCAATAAAATAAAACAAAGTAGTTAATATAGATTATTCAATTAATTTCTGCATTCAGCCAAGCCTTGATCAAACGTAAGGTCATAGTTGTAGACCAGTAAATAAACTAGTAGGTCTACTTTTATCATACGCCTGATATTAGCATTGTAAATAGAAATGCTAGTACTAGTTAACATCTACAAGATTTTCGAAACTTCCAGGGGGCCTAAAAAGGTAACATTGGGTGAATCATTTCTAATATGACAGATTTGATGAATTGTTAGAGAATCACCTAAATCACCATAAAATGGTAACAATAAAATATGAAACACCTTCAATTCATTTCATAACTGAATCATATTAGATGCCGATGTTGCTACATAAGAAATATATAGAGAAAAACCGAACCGTAACTTTACCGGTTTTGTTTATCTTGTGTTTTATTATAACTTAAATTAAAAATTTCGATCCTGAATGTTTTTTAATTATAATATTTTCTCATATCTATCAAGAAACTAGAAAATCCATTAAAATACAGTGTGAAAACTACATACAGTATTTGATTTTGTTTTTCTTATTTCCTTTTTGCTGGCAATGACTCGTGCTCATACGTCACGTCAGTCAGTCACTGTCAGAATAACAGTAAATTTAAACTTCATTTAAACAAACAAATTTGTAAAAAAATATTAAACTCTTTAACTTAGACATTATTTCATTGGGAAGTAAGTAACAGTAAATAGAGTTCGAGATGTGAATGGAATTCGAGAAGTAAATTGATACAGAAAAGGGCTCCTCCCTTACCAAGGCGAAGATTGAACGCTATGGATTTTATCTATTAAGAAATAATACACGTTAAAAGGTAAATATAATTATTTGTTACTAGCTTATTTGTGTACTAATACTAGTCATTAATACCGAGCCAGACACTCAACAACGGCACTATGCCCAAAAACATTGTCGGCCTCGGAATACTGTGGAAAGGTGTAACGAAGTACTCAAATCTTGCTGGCGATGCTGAAGTATTGGTTCATCGCAAGATACACTATAGCAGGACAAGTGCATTTGCATGTATTTGTGTTAACTGAAACAATGACATGTTGTTTTATTGTAGCTTACCATAAACCAGGCAATGATAGTAGCTTTAATATGATAAGTAAGGTAAAATATGCAACTTATAAAAATTTAATTTCATTCATCATGTTTCATTTTCAGATACCTGTTTTTTTGGACAAGCCTGCCACAACCTTCCCAAACTGCTGCGACTCCTGTAAGCCAGGATCTACAGTAGAAGACACCAGAACACTGAAGTCCGGCGCGTATCCGGGACATAATTAACTATCTTGGATCCCGCTACGAAGTCAGATTATGATTTATCAGAAGACGACGAAAGTATCCACTTCCCTCGCTTTTTTTAGTTAGTGATTATGAAATAAATGTTTTAAAATTAGTGACTTTATTTTATTGCTGTGAATGATATCTCTATCAGTTGAAATATCTCTCCTCTCTCTCTTCATGTTCCAAAAAGTACTATGGCTATAGACCTAAAAAACTAAGGCAAATAAAAACAACAAAATTTTTAAATCGTCAGATACGTGCTGACTAAAGTTTATTTATTTATAAGTCCGTTTCGTACTAGAGAATTAGTATTAGTTCTTGCATTCTGTATAGGCGTATCCTGAAACACAATTTTAATCAATATTTACTATATGTACAGGATCACAATTTAGAGTTTTATTTTATAATTTTAGTGTAAAACTTGTTGAAAAGACATACTGACAATGAAATAACCCAAGGTATATGAAGATACAACTTCAATCATGCCTATTAGTAATATACGATCCAGAAGCGTTAAGTATTAGTGCACTTAATACCTTAAACATAAATAAATACATGAGATGTACATGTCTATTCTTTCTTGAAAAAATCTTAAGGGATAATTGCAACTTAGTTGTATAACTAATTAATAGTTTGGTGGCTACTTATCTTGCACACAGTACTTATTCCACCACGTCGAGAGGCTATAATACACTTCCAACTCTTGGGATTATTTTGTGACACACACTATTATTTACGCGAAATAATCCAACATATTCAGGCTCCGGTATTTCAAAAAAAACTTGCATTTCCTGGAGAGTCTCACTTCGCCGACGATATGAAAACCTTTCTAAAACACGTGCATGCTCCAAAAAGTTTTCAGAAAGGCCTAAATCTCCTATATTTCATTAATTTATTAATAATATAAACTAGATGAACTGTGAAATGTTGCCTTTGAGTAACATCTGACAAATCTGATTATTTGACGTATAGGAATTCACTCTTTGCAAACCATTTTACGAATTTCCATTGAAAAGTGTCATATTAGATGAATTGCAAATATGAAACACTTTCAGTTCATATTATGAATCATCAAAATGTTGTCTTTTTATGACATGACATTTGTCACATATTATGATTCAGATATGAAACGTACAATGTTACCTTTTTAGCCCCCCTGGACATTTCGAAAAATTCTCCTAGACACTGACAATTATTGGCGTTTCATCGAAATGTGTAAGAGATTTTACAAAAGGGCCCATTTCATCCCAACGTCAGTTTCACTCGATCCCTCAAAGAAAAGATTTAAATTGAATGTTATGTGAATTTATCGTTCATTTTTTATCTGTGTTACGATCTCACCTTAAAACCGTTATAACGGGTTACATAACCGTTTTTAGATGTTACTGCACGTCACTTTGACACAAATTCTTCATTCATCCGTCACGTCACTGTGACTGTTGTATTGAGTTGACAGTTTCACTATCAACAATGAATATTTCGAGATTTTCTCGTTTAATACAAATAAAACCTGTTAAAAACATTAGTTATAGATGTTCAAGCCGTGCATTAGAATATTTTAATAGCAATAACAATAGGAATGGTGCTAAGAGCAGTTATTACAGTGGAATTTTGGCGGTCGCGGCCGGGGTGATAGGTTATATCAGTTTAAAGAATAAATTACTAGCTGCGACTGTGATAAACAATGATTTAAAGGGTAGAAGAGAGAAGTTTAACTTTATAGCTGATGTGGTGGCTGTGTCAGCGCCGTCAGTCGTGTATATAGAGATAAAAGATGGTAGAAGATTGGATCTGTTTTCCGGTCAGCCTGTGACGTTATCCAATGGTTCTGGGTTCATTGTGAAGGAAGACGGCCTTATATTAACGAATGCCCACGTTGTGGTAAACAAGCCTAATGCTATAGTTAACGTGCGGTTATTTGTAAGTATTGTTTTAATTCATAAGATCTCTTTTATATCTAAAACTGCCTGATACAAACAGTACTGTCTTTTATAAATGAAATTTTCACAATTTTTGTTATTACATTGTAGTACTCATTATTGCATCATCATGTTCAAAACTTGCACTGTTTAAACCGGTACAAGACCAAATTCAGTACAACTTTCATTATTTTAGTGTATTTTTTATTGAATTTTTATTGTTTGTTACTCTGAAATTGAAACAGATTCAGAAATATGTCTATTTTATTGTCACAGTTTGTTAAAGTACTCATTTGTGTAACAATTTTCTTTTATATGTCTTTATATTACCTTACCATTCATGGGACCACAATGTTCCGGTAATTTAGGAGGCGTATAATGGGCCGAAGGCAACTGTGCAAGTGCCCTTTAGACATCTTTAGGCGTTTTTATTTTAGACCTTTAAACATTTCAATTAAAGTTGTAACAAATCACAATAATTAATTGTTTACAATTTTTTTTCTGTGTGTGCAATAAAGTATAAATAAATAATAATAAATTATTTATTATTGTGATTTTAAGCTATAGGGTAAAATAAAAAGAACACATAAATTCATTTTTTTATTCTCAAAACAAATAGTCACTTCTTTCCCACCATAAACCTGACATGCAAAAGATTGAGTATTCGGACTTGGCACACACAATAAGTTCAAGTTTTATTGCCGAACACTGCTCATCATCAACAGCCTATAAATGCCCACAGCTGAGCAAAGCCTCTTCTCACACCGAGAAGGTTAGAGCGTTAATCACCACGCTTGCTCAATGCGGGTTGGCAATTTCAAACTTATAATTAGATATTATAAGTCCAGGTTTCCTCACGATGTTTTTCCTTCACCGTTTGCCAGTGGTGTCTAAATAATCTTAGAAAGTACATATAACTCGGAAAAAGTCACATTGGTACTTGCCGTTGGTAGGTTTCGAGCCCGCACCCTCATGCATGAGAAGTGGGCGTCTTACACCTCCGGGCCACCACGACACACCACGACGAACACTGCTCAGTATGCGTAATAGTTCGATTTAAACAATTACCTACCGGGTTCCTTTCTTTTATCACTAGGATGGCAAATTTAGATTTTTTTTATAGCATAAGCCAGTAAACGAGCAGACGGATCACCTGATGGTAAGCAATCGGCGCCGCCCATAGACACCCGAAACACCAAGACGTTACAAGTGCGTTACTGGCCTTTAGGGAATTGGGAATTTGAGGATTGTGGAGTATTCGGGGATTCGGGAGACTAGAGTTGGGGGGGGGGGGTCATTGGGCCTCCGGTAACCTCACTCACACGACGAAGCACAACGCAAGGGTTGTTTCACGTCGGTTTTTTGTGAGGCCGTGGTATCACTCCGGTGGAGCCGACCCATTCGTGCCGAAGCATGGCTCTCCCACACTTCAAAAATGATCTAACACTTCAAAAGATGGGCGATGTCTCTGATAAATACGATAAATATTACTTAGGTATTTATGTCCAAAAATTGTATAAGTACCCAGAGTAATCCCACCTCTAGTGGCGATACAGCTATAGTGTAAATTCCACGGACTAGCTTGAAACTCTTTTACATAATCATTACTCGACCATTTTTCTTCATCCTTTTAGGTAACATTTTCCTATTCATTTTCAGGATGGATCCATTCACACTGGTTTTGTAGAGGATGTAGACTTGAAGTCAGATCTCGCAACTCTTCGGATACCGGTGAAAGGCTTACCTGTAATGAAATTAGGGTCATCAGCAGACATCCAGCCTGGAGAGTGGGTTTGTAGTACAAAGTTTATTTCTTAATTTTTTATTAAAATTAATTACTAGCTACTTCCGCGCGGTTTTGCACGCTCTGCTCAGCTCGTATGTATGTTTTATGATAAATAGCTATCCTCGATAAATGCGCTATACAACACAAAAAGTATTATTCAAATCAGACTTGTAGTTACGGAGATTAGCACGTTCAAACAAACAAACAAACATACAAAAAAACAAACTCTTCCGCTTTATATAATATTATAAGATAATAAGTTTTTTAGTTAGTTTTCTATGATAAATGTATCATTAAATAGTTACAACTATGCTTTGTGGAAATTATAATGGAATTTGTGCTATCACTACTAAAGAATGTGAAACAATTACATTGTACAAATCACTAGTAGTTTAGCTGCCAGTGTTAGTTTTTTTTTTAAATATGTATTTGTAATTATTAAACTGTCAAACACAAAGCGGTCACCAGTGACCGCAACCTATTGTTCTATAATTGTGTCTATAATGACGGTACTCAACTAGTTAATTCCCCAAGGACTCTTAGACCTTAGTCCATCCAATTGAAAAAAAAAATAATGTGGCATGTTAGTTAACACTGTTATTCAGGAAAAAGTTACATTAGGTATTAATAGTAATATTATTATATATTATTCTTATACAGGGTGTAAACGGAACTCTCCCGGAACGCTGACAAAAAGAATTGGTTTTACAATTTTCATAATTTTTCTTTTGTGTAATTCATATAACACTAGCCTTAAGCAGCCGATTACAACTATTATCAACCAAAACTTAAAGAATCTAATTCCTTATTCTTATGAAAATGAATCTTGTTTTTTACCATCAGCTGTCGGTGTTGTTCGGGAGCATTCCGTTGACACCCTAAATTGGTTAACATAATATAATTTTTATCGTAACATATTTAAACTAAGTGTAAAGTATGAACTAAATAATAACTATGAAATTATATTTGTTGAAATAAGAATTACATTGTTTATAAAAACTGGTTTATTCTTGCAGGTAGTGGCGATGGGCAGTCCTTTAGCTCTTAGTAACACAGTCACCGCTGGTGTAGTCAGTTCTACTCAAAGAGCTAGTGAAGAACTAGGATTAAGAGGTACAATTTCATCTCTACTTAAACAAAAAATTTGTTTACATTATGGCAAAACTCTCTGTTTCTTTTAGACAGCTTGGTGCTGATTGTCTATTCGTAGAAATAAGCGCTGTTTTCCTGCTACTCAACCTATTGTCCTATTGGAATCAGCTTAAAAAGAAACTCATGCAATATTAAAACATAAGGTCTACCTTTAAAACTAAACACAAAAACTACGTTTAAAAAAAATCGACCTCAATCCTCCCTTTTTTGAAGTCGGTTAATATAGCTGAAACTTTCTCAGAAGTGTAACAAATACTTTTCTGAAACTCGTATCAAAATCGATTCAGCCAATCGCGAGACAATCGTGCACAAACATACATACATACAGGTCAAATTGAGGACATCCTTCTTTTTTTTGAAGTCGGTTAAAAACAACTTTTTCTTAGTATACCCATTTGACCCTTAATTCCTTTGATGAAATTGCTCGTAGTCTGTGAAAACTTCGGAGTCGCGGAGAACCTAATGGTCGCGGAGAACCTAACGGGTTACCGGGGCTCTGGCTCGATGTGCAAGAGAAGGAACGGGGTGGTTTTTAGTCAGTAAGAGTCTGACACTCCCTCCCGCTTCACCCAGGCGGGAGCAGTCATTCGATGATTTTCCCGCCTTAAAAAAAAAACAGTTTGAAAACTAAATACACTTTTTAAAATTCCAGGCAAAGACATGGTGTACATACAGACAGATGCCCCAATCACGTTTGGCAACAGTGGAGGTCCGTTAGTAAACTTGGATGGAGAGGCGATAGGCATAAACAGTATGAAAGTTACATCGGGCATATCCTTCGCTATACCCATAGACTATGTCAAGGAGTTCTTAGCTAAGAGTAAGTTTGTCTTTGAATTTGTTTTTTTTTATTGTTGTTCTGTGCATCGTGGTGGAATTTTGGTGTTTTTTGTTTTATTACTTGTGAATGTTTTTTTGATTATTAATCTTTACTATGTAAGTAAACTTCTTGCTGTTCGCTAAACTTAGCATTGATTAAACACCAATGTATAAATTATTGTATAATAGATAATGATTTTCAAGCGCTTATATTTTTTATATATCTACCTATTGTTAGTCAACTTCTTTGTTTTTGCTCTGTATAAAACATAGTAATGTTGATATTTGACAGATTTTTCTATGTAACTATTTTGTTTTTATCAAAGTCAAAGTCAAACTATTTATTTAATCCTTAATCAGGCACTTTTGAAACGTCAAAATATTCAATTGTCCGTCCATCTGTGCTTCAGTAAAGCTAGGCATTAATATTAACTGATATGATTGTTTATATATTCTATTTTATTCTGTAAAAAGTAAGCTTCTGCATGCTCTTTTATAATATATCTTTTAATATGATCATTTTATAACTGATATTTATCAAAATTAGCAGTTGATACTGTTATCTAAATGAAGTTTTGATATTACCAATCTATTTGATGTTCTGATAATTCACAAAGTGTTTACATGCTTCCATAATACTTAATTCGTAGAAATAGGAACATATTATTTTGTTATTTATTAACATTTTGTAACTGAAGAAATATGCACCTTATTGTAAAAGACATAACACACATTTATTCTAGTTCCTTTAGAGTTCATTTTACTAAACATTGATTTTTCAGTGTGTTTTCATAACTAATCAAAATTTGTTAATTTGCAGTAATTGTTATACTCAAGTATTACATACAGCATGTTTCTTTTTAAATAGTTTAAGCTGTTGTTGTTGTTGTTGCTAGTTTTTTTTATGCATCATCTACAGGCTGATGTTTTTTATTTTTCTATAATTGTAATATATATACAGGCAGATGTTTTTCAACAGTGTATTTTTTAAATGTACTTCCAAACTTTTTATACTCAATAGCTAATGTAAATTGTTAATTTAGAACGCTCCACAGGGACAACGAAGTCGCCACAAGTGTCGAGACGGTACCTCGGCATCACTATGCTGTCGCTAACGCCTAATATACTCATGGAACTACGAATGAGGAATCCTGAGGTAAGAATCTGATAATTTTTGATTTGGTATAATTTGAACTTTCATGGTAGTTTGAAAACAACGGTATTGTCATAACACTAAGGATTGTTTTTAATTATTCTTCCAGATGCCGACTGACATTGAACATGGAATCCTCGTGTGGAAAGTTATCATTGGATCACCTGCTTACAAGTAAGTAGTATTTTATAATTATTGTTATCCTACCTCATTTTTTACCCGACTACGGCGAAGCCTAACAGAGTTTCCTCCTAACTAAACGAGGTATTATTAGAAGCATCTTATTAGTCCGCTGGTTTTGTGTGCCATTGCAGCAGTAAGTCTTTTAAGGGGTGACCTAAGAGACGCTACGCCGTCCTAACCTACCGCGTGACACAGGCGCTTACCAGACACGGGAGTTTCGGTACGTTCTTGATTCGGATAAGGCGGGAGGAAACACCTGGGTGTCACAATTGCGGGTACCACCCGGCGAACACGGTGGAGTGTATGGTGGCGCTGTGCCCTGCGTGGGCTGAGCACCGTTGTGTCCTCAAGGCTGTGGTTGGCGACGGCGACCCCTCGCGTCTCTGGTTCAGGCCATGGCGCGGATCGAGGGGCACTGGGATGCCGTCTCCTCCTGCGAAGTAGTCATGCTAGCCAAGGAGGAGACGGGGCGCGTGAGGGAACGAACCTCCTCACGCCTCAGCCATCGTAGGAGACACTCCAGGCTGGACTTCTCCCGCCTAGGTGAGGCAAGAGGGAGTGTCAGACTCTTACTGACTAAAAACCACCCCGTTCCTACTCCTGCCCTTCAAGCCGAAGCCTTAGCAACCCGTTAAGTCCTCCGCGGCGCTTGGGTCTGGTTCTGGTCGGGCGGCTAGCTACCCATGATCGCTGTCCCAGGCTCGTGCTTACGGTGGCCGGACATGGTCCCGCGATGCCCGACGCCCGGAGTGTCCATCGCGACGGATGGGTTGTGACGAGGTAGCCCTTAGCTGACTCAAGCGCCCCGCCTCCTCCTTAATAGCTAGCATGACTGCTTCGGAAAAGGAGGAAATAACATTCCAGTCCTCGTTCCGCATCATGGCCCGGACTAGGGCCGAACGCGAGAGCGCGCTGTCGTCGATCACATCCCTGAAGGCATGGCGGTGCTACGCCCACGCAGGGTATTCCCCTACCGTGTGTTCCACTGTGTCCTCAGGGCGGTCCTCACAGAGATGACATCCAGGCGTTTCCACCCGCCCTATCAGTCACAGGTACCTCCCGAAGCTCCCATGTCCGGTGAGGACCTGCATCAGGCGGTAGGTGAGTAGTGTCTTTCAAGCCACTCCTCAAAGAGGCGACTTACCGCTGCAATGACAGCGAGCCCAGCCTTCGGTTGCGATAGTCGTTGCTACCATTCCGCCATGAGATAGCGCTGGAGCTCATTCCGCCGCGCACTAATTTGGCGCGGCCGCGGAATTTTGCCCCGGCGACGTGCCTCCGCGCGCAGGCAAAATACGCGCTCGAGCACCTTCACCTCTAGATCTCACGGTAATCTGGCAACGAGGTTCGCGCCTTCCTGGAGATCGTGCAGTATCCGTGGATGATTCGAATCACCATCACCCCGCGTATAACCTCTGGCAAGAGGCGTTTGGCCCTTCGAGGTTGAGTAGGAGGCGCCACCCCGTCCTTTCCAACTTAGGAGCCAAACGTCGGAAGTGCTCTACGAAGTTCTACCGACTTTCGAAAACGAGTCCCAGGTACTTCATCATCGTCTCGACGCCGATGGTAAGCTCTCTCGCCATTATTTGGGACTCACCCGGAGGTGACGCGTTCCCGAGGCCTTGAAAATCTCCGGCCACCGTCAGTGTGGGTCTGCGGACGGTGAGCAAGGGTAGCTCGCCGCCCGACCAGAACTAGACTGTGCGTACGGCGCGCCTCAAAGAGCGATCGGACCACCACAGATGAGGCACAGTAGGGCTGATACCCTATACGGGAGCCGCGGAAACCCTAACGGGTTGCCGAGGCTCCGGTAGGAGAATCCGGGCTCCGGAAGTAGGAATGGGGTGGTTTTTAGTCAGCAAGAGACACTCCCTCTCGCCTATCCCAAGGCAGGAAAAGTCATTGGACGATTTTCCCTCCTCAAAAAAAGGCTGCATAAAATTATGTAAAATTGCATATGGCGCCATCTATACGCCAAAAAGATAGTGAATAAAAAAAGTTTGTCTGATTATATCGTTTTTGTATCAAATGAAAAGGCGTAACTAGCACATTTCAAATACATATTTTGTATACTTTAACTTGCCAAATTGCTTCCATGAACAGGATGCATTGAAGACACTTGGCATTCTTTATAAAATGTCGTATAGGGGAAAGAATTTTTGATTGACGATATTTCTTAGTTAGAAACGGTGCTGGTGGTATATGATTCTTATTGGATTACCAAATTATATTTTAGTTATTTGTACTTTTATTTTCTTAGAGGATAGCCGTGGTCGTATGCCATTATTATGTACTGTAGAGTAATGTGCCATACGACCACGGCTATCGCCTAAGAAAATTTACTTGTTTGATACTTTTAGAGCGTGTTTTTGTCTAGTCGGGTTTTAGTTGTAACTCATTTTTTATTATATTCTTAAATCAATAACATTTTCTCATTTTCCAGTGGAGGCCTTCAACCAGGAGACATAGTGACCAGTATAAACGACAAGCCAGTGCGGACAGCTAGCGACATCTACCTGATTTTAGAGAACACTAGCGGGAGTTTGCGCATAGAAGTCGTTAGAGGGCGCCAGCGGGTGGCACTCACAGTCTCGCCCGAAACTCACTGATGAACAGAGTACGAATCTACGCGGAATGTAGAAGTAAAAAAAATAGATTTGTATTAATTTTTGTCGTCAGAAAAATAAAGTCAAAATAGAATGAATGATAGTTCTAAAGGTCTTGTATGAGTAAATTGTGTGATTCAATTGTTTTGTATATTTTTGTCATCCTTTTTAAAAGTGTTGTTCTCTGAACTCTTGTAAATAATTATTTTATATTCATAATGCGCCTCGATATGTTGTCGTAATTTTATGTTCCAGAGGTAGTTTTTTTGTGGCCATCATATCCTTGCCTTATGAATATCAGGCATGATATAATTACATTAAATATTTGGATATAAATTATTTCGTAACCATTTTTTCGAGTAATAGAAATTGTTTATTGTTAAATGTGGTTAATTTATTTAAACTTTATTATTTCACTAATTCATTAGCTGCAAGTTTAACATTGTTCTTCATTTTTCTTGTGCTATGTTGCGTATTGTTCAACAGTTCAAAACGCCATTTTCGCGATAGCAATGAAGGTTTTCGTTTTTGCCCTCTTTATATGGCGCTAGTGAAGCTTAAGGTGCTATTTGTCTAATCACCTTAGCTGTCACAAATATTCTATGGGCCAATAGACCGTAAGTTATACTAGCGAACGCCTCTTGTAGTGTGAAAACAATCATTTATACTTTTTGCAATAACATTTGTATAAATATCGACGACGATTAAGCTATAGAAACTTATTTATGTATTTAATTAAAGGAAATGTTTTTTCATTTCATTCGAACGGATAAAAAGTTAATTTAAATGAAGTCAAACTTTTATTTATTTTTGAAACAACCTGTATATGTTTTTGTATAGATTTATGTAATATTTTATACATAGTTGTTGGTAAGAATGTTTGTATGTATTATAGAGAAAATATGATGGATTAAGTTGTCGTTTTATTTATTTTTGTACCTTATAAAAATATAAGGTACAAAATCTACCTAGGTTTGAACTCGATACGTGTTTTATGAAACATTTTTTATGTAATTTCCTACGGTTGTCTACTCTGTGTCCTCACCCAACCTACTTAAATTTTTCTTCGCTTTTGGGTTTTGATCTTAGTGCATAAAATCACTTTAATATAAAAAAAAACTCAATAATTAGGAGTACATTTTTGCCTTAAATAAAGAAAAGCGTTAAAAAATCACATGGGCGAGACGGCAATACGCCATTTTGAAATACAGATGACAAATTCCCGCCATTCAATCCAAATGTTACGCGACCGAACAATACGTTTTATTTTTCTTCTTTGGCAACCGAGTCTCCAATGAACAATACGTTTTTAATACTTAATTGCTAATGTCACGTGTGATTGACATTTCAATTATTAAAATAATTGATTCATCTGCGACTTTCCATCAAAAATGATTAATTGAGGTCGCCTGTTTATAAAAAAATAGAATAAAATTATTATGTTTTTAATTTATGCGATTTTTATCGTGGTGAGTACCTACCCCTTTGTTAAATCATAATTGCAATTTACCTAAACTTAAAAAATATTGAAAAAAAAACTGAAGTAAAGCTCTATAATTATTTAATTTGAATGTCACCTCATAATTGATCAATTTCCGTTTTGTAAATACATAGATAATAAATGAATTTTTTTTTAGATTCCGTTCGTAACCTCAAGCTCTTACGATGACGAAAACAGCTATCGATCTAGTAAGTTATAGTTGAATAGATATTGATAATTTTTTTTTAACTTTAGAAGAATAGAACCTACCAAGATTTAGTCCCTACATCAGCCTGTTTGGTCCCCCAATACGTGAAGGTGCTTTCTTACCTTTATTTTAAATGCGAAGTGGATTGTTTGTCTATCTTACACATCTCAACGGAATGATATTGTAGAAAAAAAAATGGCTTCTGGATTTATGAAACTGGAGTGTCAAGCTACTTTTGTTTAGCAAGCGTAAATACAGGGTGGAAAGTCAGCAAAATGCCACAGGCTCCTAGATGGAAGGAATATCATACTTTTTATCCAAGAAACGGGTTTTGTCAATGAAACCGCTAGTACAAATTGATATAAAACTTATATTTTTCTTTTTGTAAAAGGTGTTATGGAAGCTAAGAGGCCCATACTCCGCATGCCTGTTATGTCAGAATCAGAAGAATATGAGGAAGGTTTGTTCTTATATTACATAAAAATAAATACACATGATTACTAACTGAGTGTTAGGCAGAGGTCTACATTTTCAGATATAACCGTTTTTATGCTATGTAGATGGGGCTAAAAGAGCTTTAGGACTTGTACAAACAATGAGTCACAAAAGTTGAATGTCCAACTATAGGACATTCTTACTTAAGCAAATAGGGGTACAGTTTTTTGTCACCAGATAGCGCAAATGTAGCTAGAGATTTTTGTCTAATCACTGCAGCTGTTATAATTATATTGAAGGGCCAATTATGTGACACTAGCCAAGTCTCGTCTCTCCAATTGTGAAATTGGACAAGCAACGAGACATTCATAGGTACTGGGGTCATCTGGTGAATAAAAATAGGTACGACAGCCCTTATTATCTGTGCCGGTCTGCGGATGGTGAGCAAGGGTAGCTTGCCGCCCGACCAGACCCAAACCCGTATGGCGCGTCGTCGCATTCCGCGCGCGCCTCAAACAGCCATCAGATCACCACAAATGGGGCCCAGTAGGGCTGATGCCGATACGGAGCCGCGGAAGACCTAACGGCTTGCCAGGGCTCCGGCTCGAAGTAGTAGGAACGGGGTGGTTTTTAGTCAGTAAAAGTCTGAGACTCCGTCTCGCCTAACCCAAGGCCGGAGAAGACATTGTATGGTTTACCCCTTCAAAAAAAAAACTCATTATTATCTTTAGAATAAAAGACCTTAATTTTGACTTGCGATAGTCTTTATTCTTTATGACAAAAGTAAAGCAATTGTTGTTTCCAAATAGGTACAGATAGAAGAGAAGGGACAAGTACAGAGTATACTGAAACCACAGAAGGTGCGAGACCAGTGAGAGACCTGACTCTCTTGGTTCATTGGCTGATCGATAAATTTGGATATGATGTCCCACAAGGCCGTAAAAATAATGGTAGGTACGTTTGTACATTGTTTTTATTATGCGATCATTATTATTATGTCTTCAGTAGAAAGGAAAGGTTACATAGTTTGCCCTACCCTTAACCATATTCCCTTGTCGCGGAGAACCTAACGGGTAACGGGGTGGTTTTTAGTCAGTAAGAGTCTGACACTCCCTCCCGCCTCACCCAGACGGGGGCAGTCATTCGATGATTTTCCCCCCTTAAAAAAAAAACCATGTTCCCTATTTCTAAACTAAACTAATTGTTTGTGCTGTTGAGTGCCTAATTTGATAATTAACATTATCTAGAGGTATTAACTGACAAAATTATAGTCTCATTTTTAAAACTAAATTGATAATTTTATTATGACATGTGTCACACACACATAAAAACTCAGTTTGTAGGTATCCATTTTGAGTATTTATTCGAGTAAATTGATACTCAAAATGGATACCTACCTACCTACCTAACCCTCTGCAACTGACGTGGTTAAATTGTTACAATTCAACTGAGGTGTATATTATACCAGACACCATTTCAACAGCAAATATTTTTGTAGAATTAAAGTATAGCGAGCACTATACAGTAAGGTACTCGCAGCAGTGATGGTCGTATTTGAAAAATGACGGTATAACACGTGATTTTGTATTTCGCGGTGTCTGTGGGACTACACGTCTGCCGCAGACGGCTAAAATAAGCCATTTTTCGAAAAAAGGCTAAAGGCAAAGGCGACTCTTAGTTTTTTAATCCACATTGTACCTTAATTAGTATTCAATTAAAACTTTGTGTCAGTGAGTGTATACCTGCGTATTAACCAAATGATTTTTAAAAAGCCAATAAATAAATGACGCCAAATTATAATATTTATTTTAATTAAGTTATTACAATTGCGTAATTAGTGGCTTTGTTAACAAATTACAATTAAATAATCATTAATTATTGAGGTGAGAGGTGTGTAAAATTCAACATAACATAACATCACGCTTTATTACCCGAAGAGGTAGGCAGATGTCCACATTACCGCACTTTATGCCACTTAATGCCACTTTTCACTATTTATGAGTCCCATGTAATAAGGGGTTAGCCATATACCGGGCACAATTCCAGACTCCGTGCTATTACGGAGAATTTTTTAAAAACTCATTACCTACTCTGCTCTACCTGGGAATCGAACCCGAGACCCCTTGCCCGACATTCGCACTTGCAACCACTCGGCCAACGAGGCAGTCAAATTCAAGTATAATAATTTTCATTAAATAGATGGTTTAATGGAGCCTGGAATCAAAATACCGGTCCTGCATGCACAGTCGGATGAAAATGAAGAAACGACACCTAAACCTACAGGTATGTCAATTCAATGGATCCTACCGTATTTTTGCTAGTGTGATGCTCACGTTCTTCGTCCAATAAGGAATCAGCTAGTGCCACACGCCCATAGACGTTCAATATTTGACAGCTGTTGTAATTGGACAAAAAAACTCCTTCTACAATTGCGCCTTTTGGTGATCAAAAAAGCATGTTTTATATACGGTCGAATTGAGAACCACCTCCTTTTTTAAAGTTGGTTAAGAAACGCTATCTCTCATTCATTATTGGTATCTAATTTTTTTAAATATTAAAGTCTTGCTTCAGCACGTATAAGAAAATGTTTATTTGCAAAAACAGAGGCCTTAGTACAAGTTTGATTTACGTTCGGCACTCTGATTGGTTATTTTATTCGAGCGGCCGATCCGGCCAATCAGAGCGCAGAACGCATACTCGTTTCGAATACTTTAAACGTAAAACAAATTCGTACTAAGGCTTTTGATTACGGAACTTATAAAATGAGATTGGAGCCTCCTTTTAAGCAAGATATGGCCTGTGTAAGGAGACCGCTCTTTCACAACAAGACGTTCTACATAATAAACTTCCATAAATACAAGTATTGCTTATTCAAATTTAATTACAAAGTATCAATTCAGTAAACGTCCAAGATTTAGATACATAATTTAATATCATATCAGTAACGTAATCAAAATTACATTCGGCCATTTACAAGTATGGATCGGTTCAATCGTAGCGGGGGATACCACGTCTTCACAATCTGACGTGAAACAACCAGAGGCCATCTTCTCATCTCATTCATAACACCCAATCCTCGTATCCCTAATTCTAAAACGCTGGCAATGTAGGTAGGTACTTGCAATTCCTCTGGTGTAACGGGTGTCCTAAGGCGCAGTGGCGTAGCTAGAGGGGGTGGAGGGGGCAAGACCGACTATGATCATCAGTTATAGTTCTTTCTACCTATAAAAATCGTACATACATCTGTGACAGAGAACATAACCCCCATTAATAAACTTATATAGATAATTATAATATACGAGCATTAAGCAAATTAAAGTCAGTTAAAAATTACTTGCGGTCTACAATGACTAAAACCAGATTAATCAGTCTAAAGTATCAATTTTGAAGACGTGATTTCAGAGTTTGCAAATGTCAAAACTGAAAGTATGGACAGTTGTAGGCCGCTATTTATTGAATACAAAATTTTATCACTTCCGTCTTTATACATACTTGAAGTTGCATTGTTTGTTAGAAGTAACTTGCACTTGTTTCCACGCTTATCCGAATATCATGTTAGAAATCGACGTAATAATAACATTTGCATTCATCCATCTAGAACTGCATTGTTGCACAAAAGCATATTATGTCTGGGTCCTAAAATTTATAATAAAATACCTAAATCCATAC